CCCTCCCCTTCCCCTCAGGTGGCTGGGCTCTCTGCTCCACATGTAATCCCAGGCTGACACTGAGGCTCTTGGCCCAGGTCCCAGGGGAGGTGGGACCTGCTGCTGACTCTGGTTCTGGCTTGGACTAACCCTATGTCCTTTTTGCCCTCTCATCTGTAGACAGGGCTGAGTCTCAGCTCTGGCTGCATCTGAGAGCCACCTTTTAAAAAGGGTGAGAATCTGGCATCTTCCCAGGGATAACGAATTAGCGAACAGTCTGGCCCTCGGGGCACCTTCCACACAGCTATATAAGAAATCACCCTGAGTCTGGGCTGGGGCCCACGTGTCTGTATTAAAAAGGGACAAAGAAGTGGTTCCTTTGATGCGTCCAGTGCTCAGCCTTCAACTGGTGGGTGGGAGGGTTTTGAAACACTTTTCCTCTCTCCAGCTGGGGGATTTTGTTTATATTTTACTCCTTGGCCAGTGCTCAGGAAGGGTCCAGCACACAGGGACCATCAGCTCGTCTTTGCTTGGTGCTGGTTTGTATTCTGTCTTCCACGATCATTCCAGGGTGAGCTGGCAGAGTCCTCTGCCTTAGCAGACATATCTCTCAGCCTGCCCTGCAGGATTACACGGCATGGTTCATGAAAGTTCGATCTTACGGTGGAGGTCAAATGGTATCAAACAGTCATGAAAAGTCACTGAAAATGGTCATGAAAACAGTCACTGAAGCCTGGAGTTCAATGAACAAATCTCATTAGCAACAAAACAGAAACTCAAAGTCTCACTCTGTCAGCTCTGAGCACTCGTGACCATGGGCTCAGCTAGCTATTATAAGGAATGTCAAGATGGTGCCCTTGACTTCCATCATCGCACCGAAGGGTAGAGTTCAGGTAGCTGGAGCAGATTCTGAAGTGGTGAGCTCTCCTCTACACTCTTGGAGATTTTGCTATGCAAACAAGGTCTTGTCCTCTGGTGGTGACTGAGCACCCTAGGGTGCACAGCATGACGGGCCACCCAGCGTCACGTGTCTTAGGATCGCTGCCTGCGTTCTTGTTGTTAGATAAGTGACCCCCCCCCATGTTTGTGTTTTTCTTGCTACAGATGGGCAGAAGAAAGTTCAGGAAGAATTTGACATCGATATGGATGCACCAGAGACAGAGCGTGCAGCCGTGGCTATCCAGTCTCAGTTCAGAAAATTCCAGAAGAAAAAGGCTGGCTCTCAGTCCTAGTGGGGGAGCCACTTCCTAGTCCACCCGAAGATACCGAATTCAACTATAATCCGTCAAGAAATGAAAAGACCAACACCCTAGAGAAAAGTCATCCACACAGAGCACACATGCGCACTGCACATTTGACATGCATGTACAGAGCCCATAGTATTTATGCCCTTGTAGGCAGGTGTACACAATGAAATTGTGAGTAGCTCAACCCCTTTATCTCCATTACCTCCCTCTGCAACTATTTTCCTTGATGTTGTAATAAAAAGGGCGTTAGATGAGTGATTTGAGTGTCTGTCTTCATCTCTTACATTGAACTAGGAAGTTGCCTAAGGTTAGAGGTGGCTGCAAGCCAGATCTTTTCTCCCCTTCTCAAGAGTTGGAGGTAGAACGGAATGGCTTCGGCCTGTCCATCCTCCACTGGCAGGGCCCATCTTGTTTATAGAGTGCTGGCTGCCAACAGGAGATGGCTGTGTTTCTATGATGGGGTTGTAGCTCTGTATCCTGGGATATACCAGTTTCAGAACTTAGAAGTCATCCAGCACAGCACAGGGTGGGGGTGGTGCATCTGTGTTGGAAGTGCCACCCAAACGTACGTGGCAGGTACATTTCAGATCTCCAAAAGGCTGCCCCACTCCACGGAGAGCCATTATGGGACTCGTGTGCAGCTCCAGACAGCAAGCCCCTCTCTGTGCTCTGCGTGGAGGCTCGCTACCTGTTAAGCTTCTTCATCACAACCCGAGGTTTGGAGAAGCTGCGTGGCTTTTCTCCAGCCCTACCTTTTCCCTCGTAAACCTTGCAAGCACACTGCCTTGTACACTGCTGAGTTTCCATAGGGGGCAAGGAGTGGACCGTTCTGGGGGAAATGAATCCAGAGTCAGGATTCAGCAGCTAGTTGGTACGGTGGCTGTGCACCCGTCTTGGGCATCAAGTGGCAGGTGCTTCAGATTTCTGAGGTACTTGTGGGTGTTTGTTTGAGCTTTGCCACGGGAAGTCACATTTCACCTCTAGCACCTAGGACACACTAGGATGGCACCAAGTGGACTTACATGTGTGACATGTGTGCTTACCTGCTTCTTAGCCAGGGCTCTGGATGGGTCATGAACAGCGGTGAGAAGGGGCGGTGTGGGACCTGAGTGTGTGTGCACACCTGTGTGCTGACTGTGTGGGTGGATGGCACGGTGGGAAGTCTGCGCAGGGGGGACAGGAGTAGAGATGATGCTATTCCTTCACAAAACCCTTCTTCTGGTCATGACAGCACAGACTGAGAAACTGGCACCCATGGGAGCTTTCTGGTCACAAAAATCCATCTGAAAATGTGTTTATTGTCTCCTATAAAGGAAATCCCTCCTCTGGGACTCCTCCCTGTCTGTGGCTGCCGGGGAAGGGAAATGCTTGGATTCCCGATTGACTTCAGTCAGTGAGCACTAAGCAGGATCACTTCAGCAGAGGCAGCTAGTGAGGTCTAAACAGGGCTCCTGAAGGAGTGGTCCCTATTGAGGACAGCAGGCTGAGAGGACACCCCATAAATCGTTGACTGAGATGATAGGGGTATGGATGCCATAGAAATTAGAGGGCTTAAGATGCCATCTTCAGGGTCCCTAAAGCTGCTATTAAAGTAAGCTAGTGCATGTATATATAATTCCTCTGTGCCCGTGTACCCAGTACCCACACTGATCCTGCATCCCCTGACAGTTCACCTAAAGGAAGTGGGGCCCTCTTCCTTTGGAATGTGCCCTGGCCCTGACAGCTGGAAGCCCACCTGGTTCCAAGGAGGATTTCCCTTGCTAATGGGCTCTATGTGAAACACTGTCTAACAGAGTGGCTCTGCTGACAATCCCAAGAGTCTTGGCGTTCTCCCTCAGCTCATTGCGGAAAGAAAGGAGCTGTGACATTTGGAGAGGTCCCTCAGAGATCTCACCATGCATCTCTCAGCCCAGTCACAGGGCAGGGATAGAACTGATTTTCTTTGAGCCACAGATTGAATTTATGGATTTCACTTCATAGGTGGCTTCACATGGATCTGAATCTTAAACTCCAGCTGTCAGTGAAGGGGAGATGCCAAGTGTGCTTCCCACCACTAGTGGGGTGATGTGATATGTGGAGTCTGTGGTCTTACAGAGCCAGAGGAGGTGGCTTGTGGTCCCAGGTCAAGGAGGACTTCTCCTTCCTGTAGGCTTCTGGGTTCATCCTGAAAGGAGGAAGGACCCCCTCCCCGGCCCCCGCATTGGGTGTGCCCCACAAGATGTCTTCAGCTTGGATCAATGCTGATTCAACTGTGTTGCATGTGCGTTTACTCAACTCCTGTGTGCAGGTAGTGATGCTGTTGCCACAGGGCAGGACAAGTTGTAGACAGGCTTGTAGAAAGGATATAGATACCTAGATGTTGAGGTGGGAAGGGGTAGAGCAAGGTGCCAGAGCAGCAAAGCAGGGACTGGAGAACATTTGAGTCTTGCCCAAGGAGCACCCTCTGTACAAGCTGAAAGATGGCAGGCGTGCCTGAGCAAGCAACTCTGGCACCTGGCTCAGAGGTGCTGGGAAGGGGCCTAGGCAAGAAAATGTTCAGCTCTGCATCCCAGAGGCTGGTTATAATCACAGTGGGTGTGGTTCTGATACCATTTAGGAGCTAGTAAAGACATCAAGCACTTAAGTACTAGAAATGGACTCCTCTTTGATTAAAGGTTGGCTAAGTGACCACAGAGAACTTACCCACTGCAAACAGCAGGTTTCCTTAACGTCAGTGTGATGATCAAATCTCCATGGTGGTGTGTCTGGGAAAATGTTAGGAATTTACGATGAACCAGGCAAAAATATACCTGGTTCAATGCACATGTCTACTGACAAATCTGTGGAGTCTCTTATCAATGTTCTTTGTCCTAGCTCAGCTCCAACCATTGGTCACTGTCTTCTTGGTCAGAGTCAGTTGGATCAATGCTGGGCACCCGACCCAGGGGGGTTCAGCCAGTCAGGTTCATCCTCCAGAGAATCTGAGTTCATCATCATGGGAAATGAATCAGTTAACAAAATCACAATGCTGATTTGAGGCCCAAAGTAGTAGTATGATAAGTTAATGCTGAAAATGAAACTTTAAAGGTTTAAGAAGATTATTACGGGCTGGAGATATGACTCAGCAGTTAAGAGCACTGACTGCTCTTGCAAAGGACCTGGGTTCGATCCCACCACCTACATGGCGGCTACAAACCATCCTTAACTCCAGTTCCAGGGGAATCCGAAGCCCTCTTCTGATCTCTGCGGCATTGCATGTCATGGGTGCACTCACATACATGCAGGCAATACACTCATACAGATAAAATAAAAATAAATACATAAAATAATAAAAAAAGAATATTATTACTATTAGTGAAATTATGATTTGCAAGAATCTGTAAAAGATCATTTGGAGAGAGTCACAGGAGGATGCAGGAGAGGGTTCAAGACTCAGGAGACACAAGCTCATGAGGGATGGAGGGGTAGCCTGGGTTGAGTTAGTCACTTGAGTGCTAGGATCAGGAACCCACTCACACTAGCTAAAAAAAGAGAAATGCCAAGAATAGAGCCTCCAAGATATCCAAGAAAAAAAAAAAATGGAACACCACAGGCAGGCAGAATCTCATTAGGTTTATAAATAAACTGGGCACAGTGGGAAAGAACTGACATCGTTACATGATCAGCTTTACAACTTTCGGTAAGTTTAATAGTTTTCTTTAAATATATCTCAAACATTTCTTTTGTTTTATTTCTAGACATTGGCTACTCTTTGTCGTCCTTCTAAGTGGAAACTTTACACAAAGGGTTCTGTGGCTGGTCTTGCTGTTGTCCAAAAGAATGACGGATTTCTGAATACTTAGCTCTGCACGCACTCACCTAAGTGACCTGCGTTATATGTGAATTTTAGTAGCTTCTTACAGATTTCTAGGGAGACAGTTCTGTTACCTACAAATAATTTTGTCTCTTCTTTTCCATGACTTTTAACTTCTTACTTTTCTTTTTGTCTCTCCTTTATAATCCATCCGTGTGTCTTGGAGATGGACGGCTTGGGCCTTATCTGTGTCATAGGAATAGTGACAAGCTGTCTCCTGATAAAGTCCTGTGCAGGGGTCACGTGTTTGAGTTGAATGGCTTTAGCTTCAGATACCAACTTTTTCCCAACCTCCTAGATATACTGGTAAACGAACAAAGCATATCTTTACCCAGAAGATTAACCTGGAAAAAATGCGTGTAACCATAAGAAGACTGGAGCAGGAGGGAGAGTTCTGTGTTAGAATTACCCAGGGCTTGTGTTTCAGGAGAAGATTCATGCTGGCGTTGGGTCTAGGAGGCGCTACCTCATGTCCTGGATGGTCAGCGTGCAGTTCCTGGGCTGCTTTGTGCTGCTCAGTGTTTAGTCAGCTAGAGGTGCTGTTATAATAAAAGTATCATGGACTGGCAGGCTTATATGCAGACATTCGTCCTCACTCTGGGACCCTGGAAAGTCCCAGGTCAGGTGCTGGTAGACTTGGTAGTCTGGTGCTAGCTGCTTTCTTGCTGTGTCCTCCATGAAAGAGAGAGGAGGAGAAGTGGAGGGAGGGAAGGGGAAGAGATTGAGGGGGGGAGTGAGAGAGAGATTGATCTGCTGTCCTTTCTTCTTCGTTTTCTTTAATCCATATTCTTTTGAGACAGGGCCTTGCTGTGCAGTGCAGGCTGACCTAAAACTCACTGTGTCCTCCTGCTTCAGCCTCTCAGGGACAGGGATTACAGGTGTGCACCACTGTGCCCAGGCCCTTTGCTCTTTCTATAAGGCACTAATCTCACCCCAGGGGGTGGCTCAGCTTCATGGCCTGTCTGAGGTTAGCCATGATTCAAAGGTGCCATCTCCTAATGCCCGGGTATTGGGGGTTTGGGCTTCACCATGTCAGTTCTGTGAAGGGAGCGCACAAAGTTCAGTTGGGACTATCGCGCTCACCCTGGGGTTTCAGGATCAGACTGAGGAACAATGGGGTGTGATTTACAGCTCTGCTGGCTGTAGCCTCTTTCTCCTGGTTGTTTCTGGTTATTCCCCTAATACTGCTCCTTTCCTTATGACAGTGACTCGCTACTTCCTTCGTGGCCGCATTGCCCTTTGGGAAGTCCTTTGTTCTTTTGTTAACAGGAGCTTCACTGAATAAAAATTAGGGAAAGCTGGCTGCTCGGCAGTGGGTGACCTGGCTGGGAGTTATAGGGTCTGCAAAGCTGGATAATGACGGCGGCTTCGGAGGACATGTTGCCCCCCCCCCACACCTGGCTCTGTGGGGTTCTCTATGGATAAC